CTTGAGGCGGCTGATTGCTGAAGAATTATCCTAATTTTAAAGAGAGAAAACACCTTGGAGAACTGTTACTGTTACTGCTAATGCTCTAGTTATTAAAGTTAATGTTAGCAGAATGTTCATTCGTCATTTTAGCACCTGAACAGCTCTGGTAAAGTATCTTTGGAATCAAACTTTCCTTCTAAATCCTTAAAGCTAAGTTTGCTTCTAGAGAAACTGTGCCAAAAAGGACCTTTTAGTAACTTCCTGACAGTCATGTCTAGGAGTGTATATTTACCAAATTTAGTTAACTGCTAATGGCTAGCTACCCAAGTAAACACTGATATTTTTATTTGAGAATAAATATTGATTGAGAGGAATCTTAAAATAATATTTAATCCATGGGGTAATAAGTTGAGGTCTTTAAGCTTTTACGTACATTCCGAGAGCTTGATTAGATAGATATATTTAGAGGGATTTTGTTTTTAATAATGCTTTAAAATTTATGCGTTTAAAATGAACATTTTAATGGATAGACAAAGTTGGAAGAAAAGGCAAAAGAAGAAAAGAAAAATGTTTTCCTGAACCAATCGGGAAACAAAATTTTACATATGTAATTGGAGTGAAGTCTAGATCAGGTAATACTGTTATTGGAGTGCACAAACTAAGTAAGGTGTGCTCATGTTGCATATCATTTGTAATCTAATGAATATCTATCATTCTATATCTTACTGTTGTTGAACTTTGAAGCGGTATAGACTGACTTCTCACAATAGTTTTCAAACATTAGATTTTAGATTCCTCCCCTTTTGTATAACAATCTACTTCCATCTTCATTGTGATATTTTTACATGTTTTTGTATAATACAGGACATGTAGAAATTTTTCTTACATTTTTGTTACTAATTTTTTTAGTTCTGGTCCTCCACTTCGAATCGTTCTTCACTGATTTTTTTTTTTTTCTATACTGTATATTTTGCGATAGCAACAGTAAGTAATAGGGACCTGTGTCTCATCCAGCTATGCATGTGGATACTACTAACCATGTAAATTAACTAAAAATCTGTAAATGACAATATATGAAAGTCAATTGGATAACTATTTTTTTGAAAAGATGGAAATAATTAATCTAAAATATTTTTGACTGACGGTAGGCACATATTAATTTGTCATTTTTGGATTTTCTATATGCTTGTGTATTGCTGTTATAAACTTTTTTTCATTCATAACCCACGTATAATGTTTGTTCTAATATGGCTGTATTTTTTTAAAAACTTAAATCAAGTACTTTTGTCAGCTAAAGTAACTGCATAATTGCTCAGATTAACTGCCTTCAAGAGAGATGAACCAGGAATGAATTTGGCTAGGATGTTGTAATTAAATATATTCTCAGAAATACGTCAGAATGACAACAAAAATCATATAGTATTCTTTATTTTCCTGTGCTTTTAAACATTTTATTCCTGCCTAAATAATTGTGCAGAATAGTATTGTAGTATCATAACGTATTAAAGATGAAAAAGCCTGATCCCATCCATCATCTTATTAGTGTAAGCTTGTCAGATTAGTTTGATTAAGTTTTTAAATATTTATCAAAGGCAAAGTGTGATTTTTCTGGTGAATAATTGAGTACCGTGACAAATTAATGCATCTCACGGCTGTTTTATGTAGAGGTTCACAATCAGGAATTTGTATTTTTCCACTGTATATTTGGATAAGAAAAAGAGTTAAGTTGTTGTCCAGTAAAGCGATTAAGTATTTTGCTCTATAACAATTGAATGTCCTGATAGTTCCCTAAGTTTCTCGTTGTTGCTGTTGCTTTTAATAATTTAAAAGTAAGCAGACCAGCTTCCACACACAGCCCATCAAGTTTCTGACTATCAGTTTAATTGAGGCCTTGAATTGTGACAAGGAAGAATAATAACCTTAGCTTCACCAGACGAAAGGCAACTTTATTTTCTTCAGATGATAATAATAACTTGCTGTAGAATAGCTCATAGAATAAATGGTTATCACAATTTAAGTGGCAGCTTTTCTTAAAGGTCAAAATATAAGCCCATGTTGTTTGATCTAATGCATGTAAGTTAAATGTGGCAAACACGTGCAGAGAGCTCTGCAGTAAAGTGCATGAATAGATGCAAATTAGCTCCACACTAAAGTGTCACTATCTACACATGCACAGGTATTAGGGCACAGTAAATTAATTAACTGTGCTGTACAATTGTACTTTCGGGGACTGTCCCCAACAGTACTATCTTATGGCAAAGTCATTTTACTCTGCCAAAATGGATGTGTAGATGGTAACAGGCTGGCTAGGGCACGAGGGTGCTAAAGTGTTGCAGCTGCCTGCTGCCTAGCCCTGCACTTCAGCATCTTTGTGCACCAGCCAGCCCCTCCACTGCCCAATGCTGCCACCCACACCCCAGGGCCTGACCCTTTGAGCCTGCTGTCAGCCCAGGGCTGCTCCACCCTGATCCAACGTGCTGCTGTCTTTGGTGCACATCTAGATGCTGCGCCCGGGACTAGCTGAAATGGCTCTGGAGTTTATTGCTGCACATTAATTTCATGTGTAGATTCACCTGCTGTGTCTTAAAGATGATGGCAGACACTTACTTTCTCTTCTGAGGTCTCATTTTCCTGTAAATGAGCATTTTTCCCCTTCCCTACTTTGATGTTTAAGATCCTGAAGTAAAATCCATTTAATTGGGTTTTGGGAGGAAAAAAACCTCCTAAATTATGGATAGTAACGTAAAGTTTTATTTGTTCATAAAGTAGAGACCAGATTTCTTTAAATTTTTATTTTATTTTATTTGGACTATCGTATGAGCTATCAGGTATTTAAATGAACTGAAAAAACTTGTATTTGCTAAGAGCTAGCAGATATGCCTAAAACTTGCAGCTTGGACAACAAGAACAGCAAAGGGCAGTTGTCTTGTATGGAATTTTAATCTTTTAAATTGAATCGCTTAAAAAAATCCTATGAATTAGCTAAATGACATCTACATGCCATGTAGTGATTTATTAACATAGAATCATAGAAAAATAGGATTGGAAGGGACCTCAGGAGGTCATCTAGTCCAACCCCCTGCTCAACGCAGGACCATCCCCAACTAGATCATCCCAGCCAAAGCTTGGTCCAGCTGGGTTTTGAAAATCTCCATGAATGAAGCTTCTGCCACCTCTCTGGGTAACCTGTTCCAACAGTGTTTCTAGAGTATAGTACTGACTTGCATGAGCATTAACTTGTTCTAGTTTATTAAAGTAAAAATATCTAGAATATTTTTATATATGGACATATATGGAGTGTAGAGGAATGAAAGTTCTTGTTTAAAGTTAACCTTTTTTCATATCCAGTCTTTTCATTACGCTACTTACCATGAAATGTGAATGCAGAGAACCATATGTGCCACTGGCTCTCAACCTTTTTGAAATCAAGGCACCCTCCATAACTTTTGTAAACTGAGTGGCACCCAGTTTCAAAAACTAATTTATTTATTTCAGTGTTTACTTCCTTGCAGAGGGGCCAGGCAGTGGGGGCAGAGGACTGGCCAGGCAGAGATCAGCCTGAGCCTGAGTTTATCTGCTTATCTCATAACATCCTTCAGAGGATCTGGCTGCACTATGGTTGAGAATCACTGGTATATACAAAGTATTTTTTTTAATGATGATGGCATTGCACTTTGGAATATTTTTATAAAGTGTGGCCCATATTAAATATCAAACCTCCTATTGCAGATTACTTGATTTGACATTTAAAGACTGGGATTGGTCATTTGATGATGTTGATGATATTGATGATGATGATGACAATGTTTTTGATTTCTGAAGAAGTAAAAGGGGTAAATCGAAATAGTGAGGAGTGAATTGTTTGCTTTTTAAAAAAGCATGCTTGTTTGGATTCTGATTCTTAAAGCTGAGGAAACAGGAGATCTCATTTTAATATTTTCATGCATTAAGAAAATGAGATTCTGGTTAGTTTGAAAAATATGTATTTTCAAAGGAGCCACTTCTAAGCCTAAATGAGTCTTTGCCATTAATTATAATTCCTTCTTCAAAATTCATGTCTGCCAGCCCTACTTGAATGGGAGAAAATTGAAGTAGTGGTAGCACTGTTAATGTTTACAAACAAAACAATTTTGAGGAGTAAAGGTGATCTCATGAGCTTGTCAATTGTTATTTGTAATGTTGAAGATGTATCAGTTTACAGTAAAAATACCCTTTTAAAGTGAGATGATTTGTTTATGGCTAGCAGACAGGAAATCCCCAAATCTCTGTATTTTGTTTTTCCCTACCAGTGCTATGAAAATACATATTTATGACTTGGCTTTCCTTTGCAGTGTTGTGTTTTTGGAGTTTCTAACAATGCACCAGAAGAAAGCAAAATAAATTGCCTTTGCAATGCAGTGATTTGAATCCCTTGAATGCTACAGTAAATATACAGCAGTTTCATTTGTAATTCAGTGAAATGAGTTAGTTCTTAATGAACTGCAGTGTTTGTATTTGAATCACTTCTTGGAATATGCAACCTAAGAATAAACTATTAACTGGAATAGTTATATTATCTTACTGAAGTATAAATGTGGTCTTGGGAAATACATTTGATAATCTCATAAAATCAATATCCTGTTTTACATTTCAAGACCAAATTTTAACCAAGTGAATATAGTAGATTGGCATCAGAAAATTAATACATTAAAATATTGATTAATTATTAGGTGTAATTTACTTTTATAAAAAAGGACTATGACAGCTATAGTCAGCTTTTCTGCAGCTATGTGCTTCATTTACTGAGTAATTGTTGTTAGTGATATAATGTGGCTGTTCTTAAATTAGACTACATTTGAGATTGTAATGCACAGGGAAGCAATAGTTTTAATATAGTGCTGCCTACTGCAAATGAGTAGCATATTTTTCAAGTGTGCAAAAGCAGTAAATAAAAGTTTTAAATAAAAATTCTAAGCAAGTTTCAGCAGATTGAAATGTGTTGCATTTCCTGAACAAAACTGTCTTTTCTTCTTTTTCAGCTAACTGCCTTCTGTGAATGCAGTCACAATTCAAGGTGATAATTTTCTTCCCGTTAAAATAAGACTGAAACATATCCCAAAATTTATTAAAATATATATTTTCCTGAGAGACTGTACTCTATATATCAGAGGTTTACAAGTTTTGCTGCAATATAAATTACTAATCTCTGAGGGTTTTCCTGTAATCCCTTGGGGTGACCGATCAAATGAGGAATGGTTGGTAATAGTATAAGGATACTTTTAGGTAACCCATTAGACTCTTGTTCCACAAAAGCTTTCTTGTCAAGACGCATACATGCACACTACATTTCATACAGGATTGAAAAGAATGAAAATTTAAACTGAGAAGATTCACCTTTTGTAGACAGATGTCATCGGTATGTTTGCAAGAATGGGAGAAAGATCTACCAAGTGGTATGGACTTTCATCTTCAAGAAGTGACCATTATACTGTGTATATATATTGTACTGTAATACTGCAAGAGGGTTTTAAAAAAACTTTCCACTTTATTTTTTTATGCATATTAATCAGATACCATTACTTACTGCAGTTGCAACTATGCACTTGTACAAAGCCATAATGTTGAAGTTTATATCATCCATACATGTTTATCAAAAGCTGCATGCCAGTGTTCAGCAGCTAGTATAATGAAAAGTTTGACGTATATACTGGTTTCAGTTATTTCATAATGGGCAGTTCTGTTTTACCTATTTGAATGCCTTAATTTAATTTTTAAGTTCTTTGCCCATTCTCTATATTTAAAAAAATGAAAAACGTTTACCAGCTCTTAGGACACAAATTTGCTTTGTGGCAGAAAAAATAGTGCACTATTTTTACACGTAATTATATCAATGTCAGCCTATTTTGAATGTATATTGAATGGTTCTGAGGGAGGGGGGACATATTGGTTACAGAAACATTAACTGATAGTATTGGAACTAATATATCTTTCATGTGTACATGTAACTGGCCACCCAGCCCTTTTTACAAACCCCAATATTAGTCATTGACTTTATATTACCCTTAATTAAGTGCTATGAAACTTAATTTTGCCTTGTTTTACATACTCCTAGATGTGTTTTTATTTCTGGAAAAAAAATCTGTGACTCTTTTTACATTTCACAATACAATACCCAAGGACTGTCACAAACTTTAAAGGAGGCTGGAACATACTGTAGATGTATTTTAAATTTAAAAATCCAGTTCTCTAGCACATAGCTGTAGGGATAGAAAGTATTTCAGTAGTGTGTTTTGAGAACTTATAGCTGGGAAAGAGGGCCTCAGAGATATTTCATCTGATTTTGTTTTTTACTTGGACTTGTACAAAAATATAATTTATGTGGGCTCATTCATGGTGTGTTCATAACTATCCCAGAAAATGCATGTTTTATACAACTACAGTATGCTATGTTAAACATATTGACAGTAAAAGAAATATGTAGCTTCCTCCTTGGTCTCTCTTTTATATACATATATATAGTGGGGGGGTGGTAAATTAAAATAGGATTTACTTTTTCAATGAAGGAAGACATTTCTCTTCAGCTTTTTTTTTAGAAACAGTGTTGAGAAGTTTGGAAGGGTAGAACTATAACGTGTATAACACTATCATGACAAGTGGACTTTGAACCCCATAGGTAATGGAACTGAATATAGTTATTTTTTTATTTCTAATATGGGGTAACGTACCTGATATGTCCTCAGCTTTGTTTATGCGCCCTCAATTTAGTGTTGTTTGTGCATTCTTACATTCGATACTAAAATGGGTAGATCATTGCTGTTAAAGAATTAGACCCATACACAACAAGAGTTGTTTATCCTTTCCATGCTTGTTTTGATTTACATAAGTACAGCATGTTTTTAGGTAATGCATATTTGCATATAAAACAGTTTAAAAGTGTACACGGTAAAACTGTTTCCATTTACTGAAATTTTATATAAGAGATTTTGTTATATTGTGGGAAGTTCTATCCTATTCTGAATTGGAGAAATATATATCTATTTTTAAATAAACTACTTGAGTAAGGTAAAACAGTTCCTCAACTTGGGAAGCTGGTAATTAATTGGAAAAATATATATATATACACGCACACAGAAGACAAGAAGTTCGACAGTAATGGGAAAGCTCAAAGAAATCTGCATCAAGTGGATGGTGCCTGGCAGCACAGCTGTAATTGAAGTACATTAGCAGGGATCCAGGAGCTGCATAAGGCCAGAGCCACTGCTGTGTCTCCATTGAAATGACTACTGGTTTTCCTATTAAAGGGAATCTCCAGAAGGACATTTTCCAACGCTTAATTTTAAAAAATTACTTTTCCTTTGGCTTTGTATGATTGGGTCTCTAATTTGGGGTTTAGTGTTTTTATAATGAAACTTAATCTTTGATGCTGGCAGCAATTTTGATGCTTATGCTCACCTCTACCTATGAAGGTATATATGTTATATATATATACAGTTATGTATACTTTAAATTGCATTTAGTTTTGTCTTTGCAAGTAACCAGTATTACTATGACATTCCCCAGCTCTTCTTTGAGTTGCCATATGTATGTTCCACTATCAATGCAGGCATTCTTTGGGCATGTAAGCTCAGAGACAGTTTTGGTCAGCAAAATTTGTATGACCAAAGAGCCCTGCCACTCTACCTTGCACTGAGGACCTAGCAGAGCATGCCTACTATACCCCCTGTTCCTCTTAACTGACCTTCAGCTTGAGATGGAGCTTTTTGCTGTTAGCCAACAGACTACAGTAAACTCTTACTTCCTTAAATGTTAGTTGATTAGGCCATTAGAGTTCTTTTTCTTTTCTGTTGCTTGTAAAAGAGAAAAGAAGATTCCTTGGGCCAAAAATGCAAGAATAGATGTTGAATTTGCCTGGACTTAAGTATTGCCTTGAAATGATGGGGAACCAGATGGCTGTTAAGGGCCTTTATAACATGGAGAGGGTCCAGAGGAGGGGCACTTGCATGATCGGGGGCAGCAGGGCAGGCCCTACGAGGAGAGGTTACGGGACCTGAACCTGTTCAGCCTCCACAAGAGGAGGCTGAGGGGGGATCTGGCGGCCTGCTACAAACTAGTCAGGGGGGATCAGCAGGCACTGGGGAAGTCCCTGTTCCCCCGAGCATTGCCAGGAGTGACCAGGAATAACGGTCACAAGCTGGCAGAGGGTAGATTTAGGCTAGATATCAGGAGGCGCTACTTTACGGTCAGGGCGGCTAGGATCTGGAACC